GTGTGTGTGTGTGTGTGTGTGTGTGTGGTGTGTGTGTAGTGTGTGTGTGGTGTGTGGGTGGGGGAGGGGGTTTGCTTACCTGCTTTTAATGTTTCAGCCTTACACAGTTGATCCCTTTGTCGCTTGCCTGCTTTGATGATCATTTTCTCCTTCATCTTGCATATAATGCACAGGGCAGGAAGGACGGGGCCAGAGCCTGCGATTGGCAGGCCTGACCTTGATCGTAGCTTCTCTGTTTGGCTTCGGTACGTGCTGCGAGACGTCGATGGGATGGGCTCGACCTCAAGGTCCTCCCTAACGTCTTGATCTCCCTCACGTGCGAGCCGTCTTTCCACCTTCGTCATGGCCTTTGTGTCGGTAAACCTTATGTAGCATGTGTGGTGGAAGCCAGCGTCCTCAGGAATATCTTCGAACTCGAAATCAAGACAGTGCTTGTGGTTTTCAGCCACCACGTTCCGAGAGTCTCCCTTCAAGCCGAGCGACCGTTGTAAGCTTGTCCTGTACGTATTCCATCTTGTATTGGTAAAACAATCAACCTTTTCGTGCTTCACAGACGTAATATGCATGTAACAATGTTTGTGTGTTGACAATTTTGACTTTTTGAGACTTTCTGGTGCGTTTTCCTCGTCTCCGCTACTCGATGAAACCATGGCGGCCGCCATCTTTCACTTCTGTTGACAATATGCAGCTACCCAATTGGTGTAGCACGATCACGTGATGAACCGTGGCACGACTTTGGACCAAGATATTATTACGCTTCGAAGGGAATAGTTCAGCCAATAATTACGTGCCTAGAAGAATTGGCAGGAATTTTAAGGACGACATTTTTTTTTGGTGGATAAGCATGAATCGTTCTTTTTTATGAACTAAAGATTGTGTAGTTTCACTTCTGTGGAGCGGGATTTCTTTTCTAAAGGACTTTTCGAGGTTCACCTTGCGGCCTAAATCGCTCGAGTTTCACTGCGGCTGTCAGCTGTTTGCTCCTGTCATTCAAACAAGAGGTGCTGGAGAGGGGGCGGGGCGTATCTCCATGTAAATCCTATGGGAGATACCAACTACAACAAAATGAACATATTTGACCGTAATTTAATTGTAATACACGTTTCAAAGTGATGCCGAAGCAACTACATACTGACCCGGTGACGACATTACCTATTGACGCAGCAACCACTGTAAGTTATATTCTTGTTTAATTAGACTTCTGTTTCATTTATTCGACTCTGTATAATTGTTATTGTAGCTTAAACGGCTAAATCGCGTTTGAGAGATTTTAAATCTCAGATCTGCTCAGGCGAAACCTGCTTCACAGGTCTCAGCACTCAAGCCTGCATTAATATAGGCAGGGCCAGTCTATTGATAGCGTGAAGTACAACCGTGTGACTCAGTCATTTTTTACCTTAAAAAGCATTTAAATACCGCATTTAAAAATCTGATGAACTCAGTGTGCATCTGGACCCGGTGACGACATTACCTATTGACGCAGCAACCACTGTAAGTTATATTCTTGTTTAATTAGACTTCTCTGTTTCATTTATTCGACTCTGTATAATTGTTATTGTAGCTTAAATGGCTAAATCGCTTTTGAGAGATTTTAAATCTCAGATCTGCTCAGGTGAAACCTGCTTCACAGGTCTCAGCACTCAAGCCTGCATTAATATAGGCAGGGCCAGTCTATTGATAGCGTGAAGTACAACCGCGTGACTCAGTCATTTTTTACCTTAAAAAGCATTTAAATACCGCATTTAAAATCTGATGAACTCAGTGTGCATCTGGACCCGGTGACGACATTACCTATTGACGCAGCAACCACTGTAAGTTATATTCTTGTTTAATTAGACTTCTCTGTTTCATTTATTCGACTCTGTATAATTGTTATTGTAGCTTAAACGGCTAAATCGCTTTTGGGAGATTTTAAATCTCAGATCTGCTCAGGCGAAACCTGCTTTACAGGTCTCAGCACTCAAGCCTGCATTAATATAGGCAGGGCCAGTCTATTGTTGCCCATCAGCTGTAGATAGTTAACTAATTAGAGGGGCGTGGCCCTACAGCTGTGAGAACTGAGCAATCAGGCGTCCATTTTGGGTAGCTCTTTCCTGGAGCGTCAGCTTCAGCGTCAGAAAGCCAAAGACTGACAAAGACATTGGAGTCCTACAGGAGTAAGACTGACAAAGACATTGGAGTCCTACGGGAGTAAGACTGACAAAGACATTGGAGTCCTACGGGAGTCACGAGGGAGGCAAAGAGGAGGCAAATCCTACTCTGATTAAGCTGGTGTCTTATTTCTCTTTTCTTTAGTTTTCTAGCCCCTCATGCTATAATCATGTGTATTTTCTCCATTCCTGTTCATGTGTCTTCTCGCAATTATCACTGGCCCCGTGTATCTCCTAATTGATATAACCGGCCTGCTCTCGTCTATCCCACGTGCTCCACTGAGATCCAACATCTAGTTTCTGGTGGCCTGTGGAATTGCCAGTCAGCTGTTCCTAAGGCTGACTTCATCTCTGGCTACGCCTCCCTGCAGTCTCTGGATTTCCTTGCTCTCACTGAGACCTGGATTACTCCATCCAACACATCCACCCCAGCAGCTCTCTCCACTGCATATTCCTTCTCCCATACACCCAGACCCACTGGCAGAGGAGGTGGCACTGGTCTCCTGCTCTCTCCCAAATGGAGCTTTTCCCTCTTCAAACTACCTAACTTCACTCCTTCCACCTTTGAATTCCATGCCGTCACAGTAACCCATCCTATACAGTTAACCATTGTTGTTCTCTACCGTCCACCAGGCGCCTTGGGGGACTTCTTGGAGGAATTAGATAATCTCCTCTCACACATCCCTGAAACTGGCCCTCCCGCTGTACTTCTCGGAGACTTCAACCTCCAGACGGGGAAGATAGACGAACTAACATCTCTGTTAACCGCCTTTGCTTTCTCACTGTCTCCGTCCCCACCGACTCATAAAGCTGGCAATGTCCTTGATCTCATATTCTCAAGGAACTGCGCTACTTCGAACCTCTCTGTAAACCCGCTCCACACATCCGATCACTTCTTCATTTCATTCTCTCTACCCCTTTCCAAACATAACAAACTAATCTCTTCTCATCCTGCACTTGTCCGCCGTAACCTTCACTCCCTCTCCCCCTCTACCTTTGCCTCGTCGGTGCTCTCAGCCCTCCCTTCCTCTGACTCGTTCCAACTCCTGCCACCAAACTCTGCTGCAGAAACTCTCCTCTCTACTCTCTCATCCTCTGGACTCTCTCTGTCCTCTCACATCTCGGCAGGCTCGTCAGTCCCCTCCTGCTCCCTGGATAAATGATGCACTGCGTGCTAATAGAACCGTCCTTAGGGCAGCAGAGCGGAAACGGTGGGAATCCAAACACCGTGACGACCTCCTAACCTATCAGGCTCTCCTCTCCTCTTTCTCTGCTTTGATCTCTCAGGCAAAAAGCACTTTCTTTCAAGATAAGATCCAATCTTCCTATTCCAATCCTAAAACACTATTTTCCATCTTCTCCACCCTCTTGGACCCTCCAAAAGCCCCTCCCCCCTCCTCACTTCTGTCAAGCGACTTTGTTACCCACTTTGAAAAATGTTGATGATATTCGCTCTTCTTTTTCTGACTCACCTATACTCACCGCTGGGTCACCAGACCTTCCTTCCACCAACACACTAACCTCCTTTTCCCCTCTCTCTCCAAGTGAGGTTCTTACCCTCATTACTTCTGCCCGCCCTACCACCTGTCCTCTGGACCCTATCCCTTCAAACCTCCTTTAGACTATCGCTCCTGATATTCTACCGTTTCTCACCCATTTCATCAACACTTCTCTAACTTCTGGTCACTTTCCAAACAGTCTCAAGGATGCAAGAGTAAACCCTCTCCTAAAGAAAACCCACTCTCAACCCGTCTGATGTTATAAACTACAGGCCTGTCTCTCTCCTCCCGTTCCTGTCTAAATCACTTGAACGCGCTGTCTTTAAACAACTCTCCTGTTATCTCAATCAGAACAACCTTCTGGATCCGCACCAGTCTGGTTTCAAGGCAGGTCACTCCACAGAAACTGCTCTCATTGCTGTCACGGAGGAACTGCACACTGCCAAAACTGCATCCCTCTCCTCTGTCATCATCCTGTTGGACCTGTCTGTCCAACAGTCTGTCGAGCGTTAGAACTATTAACGAAGCACTTTTATACTAATAAAGGACTGGCTTACCTAAAGCCAGTTGAGTAGCACTTGAAATGTTTGGCTCTATGAAACCTGATGTACTTATATGATTCTGTTTTCTTCAAGGTTGTGTCTTCCTGGTCGAATGTACTTATTGTAAGTCGCTTTGGACAAAAGCGTCAGCTAAATGCAATGTAATGTAATGTAAAAGTACAAAATATTTTTTGGACGGACACTATAATTTACAGTTTTTTACCATGTTCAATCTGAATTTTCTTTAAAATAAAAAACATCTATATTGAATCTGACTTTTCTACATCCAACTCACAGGTTTATCATTACTTTGAGAAAAAAGATTATTAATTTAACCCTTTTAGAAGGGAAGATATGGTCATTTGTTCTGGGAATGTCATTTTCGAGCCTGAAACCTGAAAAACAGGCTCGGGGTTTAACAGGTCTGCTAACATCTCAGAGACATCTGGCATGCTTCAAAAGAACCAAACAACTCATATAATGGTTTAATTTTTAAAATCAGAATGTATTTTACGCTGCTATGGACAGTCTTGCACAAATGTACATTCTCAAAGATATTGAAGTGACTATTGTGTTGTATATATTGATTGTTGTGCTTTAATTTAGGTCTTAATGTGTGCATATGTATAAATGTGTCTTTTGATTGTGTATATGTAGGTATATGTCACATATTTTTATATATATTTGTTTTTGTATTCGGGGTTGTGGGAAACTGTATTTTGATCTCTCTGTCTGTACACACAAACTGGAAGATTGACAATAAAGTTGACTTTGACTTTACTATTTATAAATCTTCTCCCATGTTCCAGAAGAGATGTCCTCCCAGGTCCGACTGCGGCTGCTGCCCAGAGCCAGATGCATGTTCGACGAGCCGCTCCAGGTGAAGGTGGCCGGGCTGAGGTCCAGACAGGTGGTCACCCTGAGAGCCAGAGCCACGGACGAGAAGGGAGTGATGTTCAGCTCCATGGCCACATACGAGGCTGATGGGAGCGGGGAGTTGGACCTGCAGAGAGACCCCTCCCTCAGCGGGACCTACACCGGGGTCCAGACCATGGGCCTGCTGTGGTCCATGAGGCCAGACACCTTGCACAAAATGTTCACAAAAACATGTTCACTGAACCCCCAGGTGGTGAAGTTCTCTGTGCACGAGGAGGAGGGCGGGATGCTGGCGGAGGCGACCAATGAGAGGCTTCTGGTTGGAGACGGGGTCATCCGGCGCCCGGTGAAAGATGGGAATATTCGTGGAGTCCTGTTTACTCCCCCAGGTTAGTCCGTTTCTCTATTCCTCCTCAAATCAAACAGTAGTGCATGGCCACAGCCTGATAAAGCTATTTCCTTTTTTCACACAAGTCCATTGTCAAACAAAAACAATTATAATGACTTCAGGAACCAATATGTTGCTGAGAGGCTGAGGTCGGGCCTGGTTGTCTGACACGCTTGGAAAAAGGATGTGTTCAGGCCCCAAAAATGCTTTGAATAAAATCTTACATGAATGAAATTGGTTGGCTTATTATCACATGTACAAGCATATAGTCTGTATAATCCAGTTATCAAAAGTTGCGGTCAACAAAAAATACACCGACCCACTCACGCTCTCTTCCACACACACACACTTCACACAGGTGATTATATTTACTATGAGTGCCGCCAATAATGGGACCCAACTAATTCAACCCATAATTGATCACAAAATAATAAATCATAATAATATATACAAAGACTAATAACCAAGTATAACCAACCAAAAAACATTTATTAAATCTACAACGCAAAGTACCACTTTCTGATATTCATGGCTCCAACAACACTATTAATTAAAAACATAAATTGTATATAAGAAGCTGACATAGTCACCGGGACTTCACAGATTAGTTTGGCTGTCTTCCATTTTTAAGCCTCGATTTGCGCATTTTGCTGTTACCTTCTTGTTTTTTTGTAACAAGAAGTGACATGAGAGGTCGGAGCAGGGATTGAGATCGTAAACTCTCCAAATCTTTTTTTGTGGTTTAATAAATCAAGTAAGTAAGCATGGTTATTTTGTCATAGACTTCTATACAATCTGACTGGGCAGTTGGATAGAGCTGGATATTAGAAATACTGCAGGTTTAAGGCACTCATGCATTGGCTTCAGTTTTCAGAATCAGAATACCTTTACACGTCCTACAGAGGGGACATTTTGATTGTTACAGCAAAGTGAAGAGTCAGAAATAGCAACATATCAATTCAGATGCAAGCACAAAATATTTAAGATAAAATTAGAAATTACACAAATTACACCGTACAAAAATACACATCAAGGTGGACAACAGAAAGTACCAATAACAGTTTTAAAAAATAAATAAGTGTAACTGTAACCGACCTGTAGTTCTTAATCTATCTTTGTGTTTGTCTTTATTCAGGAGAGGGTCCGTTCCCTGCTGTGTTGGATCTGTACACTTTTAGTGGAGGTTTGTCAGAGAAAAGGGCCTCTCTGCTGGCCAGCCGGGGATTTGTGGTTCTGACTGTAGCGCTGTACGGCCACGATGACATGGCGAAGAACATCAAAGAGGTCCATCTGGATTATTTTGAAGAAGCAATAGCGTTTTTAAAGAAACAAGATAAGGTGAGTACAGGCCACATTTTTTTAAATCTTCACTGAAGGTGCTGAAGTTGCAAAGATGTTAGATTATTTCTCAGTGGCAAAAGTCCCATGTATGATTACTTACAAAATAGCTAACCTTATGGGCATCATAATAAATGCTGAAAAGCTTTTATCCAAAGTGACTTAAAGTGCATTCAACCACGAGGAAACAAACTCAAAAGCAAGAATCCCGCAGTTACATTTTCTATCTATAAGCCAAACCAGATTCTACTGCATTAGCTTCACTTAAAGCCAAAGAAAGCAGCTCACAGTTTGCTTGTTTGTCCACAGGTTGGCAGTAAAGCAGTCGGTGTTATATCCCTTTCTAAAAGTGGAGATCTTGCCCTATCAATAGCCTCTAACCTGCCAGATGTTGGAGTCACGGTGTGGATCAATGGCTGCTCTGCCAACACCATGTTACCCCTCTACTACAATAAGAGCCAGATCCTCCCCGCGTTAATGTGTGACCTGAGCAGGATGATTCCCACAGACTCAGGGGCGTTTAACTGCAAATATGTGATGCAAAATCCGCTGGCAGAGGAGAACAAAGCCACCCTGATCCCCATCGAACGAGCCAAGGGACGCATCCTCTTCGTGGCTTCGGAGGACGACCTCAACTGGGACAGCAAGGCCTACATGGAGAACATGGTGGAGCGACTGCAGCGACACGGGAAGGACAACTTTGAGAGTGTGTGTTACCCCGGAGCGGGACATTGCCTGGAGCCTCCGTACGGACCCTACTGCCCCTCCAGTTTCCATGGGGTTGCAGGCAAGCCGGTCCTGTGGGGGGGGGAAGCAACGTCCCACGCAGCAGCTGAAGTCCACCTGTGGAGAAAGATCCAGGAGTTTCTCAGGACTCACCTGAGCTGTGATGCTCCGCAGACTAAAGCCAGATTATAGACAGAAATATCATCATATGATAGATAAACACATGGATAACTGTAAATAATTGTACAGCGAATCATGTCATGTTTGATTTGATGATAGTTGAAGCACTGAGAGAAAGACATGCTTAATTTGTTGCCTTAGATTTGTAAATGTACTTATCTATGCTTTTAAGAAAGTGACATGGCTGTGTGTGGATGAGTTGAACAATTGAGTTGATTTTTAAAATCTTTTTATTGATTTTTTATTTGATTTTTTTAATCTTTTTTTTTTTTTAATAACCAATTTTCCTCCTGGTCTCTCGCACCCCCCTTGTCATGCCTCTGCGCCCCCCACTTTGAGAACCACTGCTCTACATCAACAGAAAAATGTGGGATATCAAATAATTCTGGCCACTGTTTCCGTCTCTCCTGAGATGACGTTGAGAGGATATCTGTGTCTGCTGTACTTGTTGTGTCACTCAAGATTTCATCAGATGTTGAGACAGGTACCAGCTCAAGTAAAGGGATGACTTTGATTGTTGCTTTTTCTGGAAGTTCTTCCATATCTGTCAGATTGCATAGTTCATAATTGAATTCAGGATCTTTGAATTGGAGACAGCAGTTGTAATGTAGTCCCAGTGATTCTTTAATCTGGCTCATCAAATCCTCCACTGTAGCAGGCCTCATATTCAGGATGACCTTTCTTATATCCTCCTCCCTGAGAATGACCCTCAAGGTCATTTTCTGGTGTGCCGTCATCTTTGGAATAAACATAATGATTAGCTCATTCGTAATATGCATGTCCTCAAGAACAGTTGGTTGCCATGAAAGAAAGCTGTAAAATATGGCCATTTAGGCCTATATTTAGACTCCAGTGGGTGCCATGTTGCTCAGCTTGATTGCAGCAATCACACTTGTAACTTTTAGCACAGAATATAACTCTTGAGTGTCACTATTAAATTGTCTCCAAATCTGTATGCTGGAAGAGGGAAAACATCATTCAGTTCTTTTAGTTGCACCACACACAGAGAGGGGTTAGGGCTGTCACAGAGTTCGAAAGATCTGAAATGCTCATGGTACTATGCAGTCATCGTTTTGCAGACAAACAGGATCTCTGTGTTGATTGCCACAATCTGTTTGATTTGCTTAAATTCAGGGAGACCTGAGCATGAACCAACAGAGAGTATCATATCGGCACAATATCTAATTCCATCGACAAAAACTGATGATGCAACAAGAACTGTTGCAAGCTGAGGAATTCTCTGGCAGAAAACGTGTTGGACATTCTCAGGGTAAGATGTGATTGGTGCCGTAGTGACCTTATCCATTTCAACTGAGGGCTTGAAAAATGAACTTGTGTCCAAATAGTAAGCCATCATCTTTTGATGCTTTACAGCCAGTGTAAGAGCAACATTTCTGAAGTTGTGTGCATTTCTAATGACCCGTTTAAAGAATTTGTGCTTTCCCTCGAAACGCATTGTCCAGACATCTGAAAGCGGACCGAATGCCTTAATCAGCTGAGTATAATGCTCAATGAAGTGGTGTTTTGGACGTAATCTCAAATCAGGGAATGTAGTTTGCAACAGTTCTCTGTGTTCTGACACTTTGCAATCAAGGAAGTGTATTGACTCTTCAGTGTGCCTTGTTGCTACTGCCAACTCAACAATGTCTTTAAGGAGCATCAGAATGTTCCATGCATTGTCCCCTTCAGGTACTTTATGACCAATGAGAAGTGGGAGCAGTCTGATTAGAGCCCAGTTCTCATGGCCATTTCCACCTATGGTCCCTTTGGTAGAGAAGCCATGTGCAATAGGCTGTGGCTGGTCAGTTTTATCATTAAAAGCATATGCAAAGGATTTGATTGCAAGGTTCAGTGTTTCTAAGGTGAAATATTTCTTAGAAATCAGGTCTGAAAGACAGAGCGATAACTCAACAGGAACAATGCCTTCAAAAAGATCATGCAGGATGTCAGGGGGGTAACCGCGAACAACATGAAAGTGCTTCAGACTGTCTGTCAATACACATCCTCGTTTCACACCATACTTTCTAGCCATAGTGGGATCCTGCTTTACCTCCTGCACTTACCGGTTGTGAGTGTCTTTATTTCGGAGTTCAAAGTTGCCTGAAGTTACTTCTTTGTCTTGGATCTGGCTCCTCGTCACCATGCAGAACCTGCAGAACCTGCAGGACCTGTCCACTGCAAAGCTCTCGAAGAATCCTGCCAGTGAATGAGCAGCCAAGTTATCAGCAGCCACATATAACACTGTGCCTTTGACGCATGCTCCAAACTTCTCAATATAAACACCGTCTTGCTCCAAAGAAAGCAGATCTTGGATGAGAGGATGGAGAATTTTAGCATAGCCATATGTTTTTACATCAGTGGCTTTACACAAAAGAGCAAGCTGAATGGAGTGGAGTGTGGACCTGTATTTTGATGGCACATTAGCTATTACCCAATACACTGCAGTCATTTTGTGTTTTTTTCTAGATATTCCTAACGGATTGGACACTTCAAAATCATCACTGGCCCCGTCTCAGGTCGGTTAAATTAAATCCTTGCTTCCCTCACTTGCGTCGTTTCCCTGCGACTAGTCCCTCCCACCAGGGAAGCATGGAGGAGCAAGGAAACCACGAGAAGCAGGGAAATGAGTTTTAAGAGCAATGGGACGTCCTTTCCTCCGGAGCGTCACGTGAAGCGACGTCCGTTTGTGATGACGCTACACAGCTGATCGTCTGACAGCAGCTCTGTCCCCGTTATTTTCACAAACACCCCCGCCACACATTTACTGACACAAACATTTGTATCATCTGTTGTAGACCCCAATAAATAAAATAAAATAAGAACTCATTCTCAAAAAAGATAAACGCCATTCTTAAAATGTATAAACGAACAATAGTTTGATTAATATTGATTAGAGTGCACAATAGAAATAAAATAATTGAGAGAAGAAAAAGAGATGTGTTATCTATCAAAACCCAGTTAGATTAACATTCATTGGATTGCACACTGTGTGTGTTTGCTTGGATATGTAGCACATTAACATTTTAATAGCACTTAATGACTGACTGAATGGAAATGACAATAAATGAAAATGTAAAACGAAAAAAGCGATCATGAAAATGTTTCCAACAAATGAATAAAATGATTTTTGACCACTTTGTTGTTCAGATATATCACATATTTGTAACTAAATGATACATGAATTGAAACAAAACACAGTATAAACTGAGGAGTGACTCTCGTGAGTTTCATTTATTTTCTTCACTCCGCTGGGAAACTGCTCATGTCAAGAAGCATCAGATCATCGTCCAATCAGTGAGCGATACACAGTAAGGGGGCGGGCGAGTATCTGAGGATTTTATCGCAGGATGGTCTGGTGATTCCTCGGTTATCGCTCCTCTATTGTCGCTCCTCGATCCTCCGGCAGAATAAGAGCCATGGGACGGTACTCAAGATGGCGCAGACAAATCAACTTCCGGTGAGACCGAGGAGCGAGGAAATGAAAATAGTCGACCTGAGACAGGGCCTATGCAGAGCCATATAATAGAAGAGTTACGACAACGGAAGTCCAAAAACGGTTATCGTCACGTGGTTCATGTAGAAGAGGATCGTTCCCCGGAAGTTCATGGCGGGCAATGTGAATGCATTGATAACAGGAGATAGAACTACGATTTTTGGTAATTATTAGTGAATAAAGGTTTTGATTTGCAATATTTATACAACAAATCGATATGTGTATGTATTTACATCAATATGTTTTAAAAAATAAAATATAATTAGCTAATATTAAGTGATAATATTAGGATTAGTGTGAACAACTAGTTTACATGTTAGGCTAACAGTGCCTTGGTTAAAGAGCCTGTTGCTGTTTATGTATAGCTTTGAATTCTTTAAAACCAATATTATCTTCTTAAACTTGTATGGTAGTCAGGAGCATCACTTTCTAATGTTTATTGATATATTTAGAGGGAGGGGATCTAAATTAATGCTTTAAAATTCAGATTAGATTAATGTCTACCATTTTCTTAAATTCATGGTAGTTTCAGTAATCCCATGGTAATTGAGGACACAAGTTATCTAAATGACTAATGTCATCTTTATGGCTTTCAGAAAGGACAGGTGACTATCAAAGGACTAGCAGCAGCAGCATGATGATGATGATGTTAAATGTGTTGTTTTAGGAACATCCATTGCAAATACATGGAATTCAATAAACATTGAATAGCATATCATGCAGTTTGTCTGTGCCTTTTCCTCCTTGTTGTCCTGGTTTGCTGTGCTGCCTCCTAGTCGCCACCATGGTTTGCTGTGCTGCCTCCTAGTCGCCACCATGGTTTGCTGTGCTGCCTGGGGATGCTCCAATCGCTCAGAGAAAGGAGTACGAATGTACAGCTTCCCCACTGACCCAGAGCGGAGGAAGCAGGAGCAATTTCACGACCAACAGCAACAAAATATGTGATTTATATACAAACACTGCATTTGCACTTTTTCACAAAACGAAAACCACACCATTGGGAAAGCTTAATGTTTTGTTTAATACAAAAAACAGGGAAAGGCTTGAAAAACACAGAGTTGAGACTCAGGGTGCAGGGTGAGGGTCTCAGTGCAGGTATTCAGGCTCCATTGAATCCCCCTCTGGTTCTTGTGCTGAAAGAGGGATAAACAGACAGGAGAAAGGGTTATACACACCTATATAGCACACCTATTGGATGGGAAATTGCCTTGGGGAGATAAGGTGTGGTCTTTGTTCCCAACTGAAGTTATGGAACTTTATTATTTGTGAGTTTAACAAAGTATGACAAATGGCATCAGTAACATATGTGATATGAATTTCTATAAAGTTGTCTCACATTCTTGGTCATATTGTATATACAGTATGTAATGAGTATAACATGTCCAGTAAGTATAAAGTGTTTCCTAATACTGTGTATTCAACCACTATGGAATATGTATGTGGGCAGACAAAACTGAGTTGTTCTGTGTGTGAAGTAACCTCAAGTCACTCCGCAGGCACATTTTGATGCAGACCAGTTTGTCAAGACAAAAAAGGGCAAGACTAGGCTGAGAGCAGAGGCTATACCCACCATCTTCGTGCAACACCCTGTGGTCAAAAAGAGAAGGGCCCCTGCATCACGATTCACCCCGGGACCTGTATCTACAAAGCCCATAGCTCATGATCACAGCGATAGTGTGAAAGGTGACACAGGTATAATAAGTATGAACTCTTAGTAACAAAAGTAATATTTCTTATTTTTAAGTGGTATAATATGTTAAATGTTCGAACATTTACAGTGCCATGTCTTCTACTTACATTAGTCTCAAAGATTGAGGGAAGAAGGGAAGGGATCACTGCCCTCCACCTGCCAGAGGAGCGCAAACAACAAAAACAAGCAAGGTGTCCCGTCATGTACCTGGAAGTTTGGGTTGGCAAAATGGAGTAAAAGAGGGACTTGAAAAACCTTGGTGGCTGTCTACTCATGTTGTTACAGTTGTCTTGGTTACAGCTCTCAAGTTTTTTTTTGTCCCATTTCCACATCTTTAGAAAATATGAAAAAATTGAAGTGAAATCAACCTCGTCTCTGGAGAACAAACTTAGATTTCTCTGTCTTGTGAGTTTGCAGTCTTGCAGTTTTGCTCCTCCACCTGTAACATCACTGCCCCTCCACCTGCCATACAGTAGGTTACTAACAAGATTACTTATATAATACAGTGATATAATACATGTTTAGTATGCTTACTTATATAAAACAGTAGTATTAAACTTACCTTGTGTGTTCACTCTCACTTAAGTTCCTCTCCCTTTGCCATCAATCCAAAATCAGCTGAGCTGCAACATTATACACACAGGTAATAATCAACATAATCACAAGGACACAATATGGCTCTGCTAAAAACACTCACTCTTACACGCACCAAAGTTATATTTATCTAATATTTAACTCCCTCCACCCCCGCATACAATCCCGTTTAGAAG